TTGTACCATGTGCCTCTCTTTATTAGAGACTTCATTATCGGGAAGAGATTCAAATGTTGAATATGTAAATTTATGGTTTTCTTTCGTTGTGATGGGACTATATGTTGTAAAGTATTTATTCAACTTTTGAAATATTTTAGTTGACGCATAATAGCAGTTGCTACTGTACAAATTGGGCACCGTGCAGAGGTTTAGGACGCGACCAGTCTTGATTGGATCTATGAGTTAAAGTGAGTTAATTTTGAATAAAATTAATGGGTAAAATGCGTCAAACCCTCATGTCTTATACGAAATAGACGCGTTACTACCTTGTGTTTTAAAAATTACGTGACACTCCCTTGTATTTAAGTAGTTGTTGCACGATTCACCCATTTCGTCCAACTTAACGGCGCGTGCACAACACTTTCTATACCTGCGAATATTTTTTAATTTTTAATTTTACAAAATTATTAATTTACCTTTTTGCCCTTCTGAGTTTTAACGAGAAAATTAAAAATTAGAGAAGGGGAGGATTCAAACCCAAGTCCCCTAGGTAAGAAGCTCGTCCACTCAACCACTAGGCCAAATACATCCTTGTGTAGGAATTGAACACAAATAATTTTATAATACTTCAAACAAATTAATAAACTAAAATAAAATAAAAACATAACAAGTTACTTTAATATACATTATATAATAATAATAATAATGATACCAGCTTGCAATACATTAAACTAAAATAAAAATAGTGAAAAAGTAAAGTAAGATAAAAGTTAATATAGTAGCATAAATTAATATCAAATAAATTATATTTTTTATTTATTATAATATAATGAATTATATAAATTTGGAAATGAACAATAATATTAAAATTAAATTTAAAAATAAATAATAAAAATAATATAATGGGTAAATTAAATATATATTAAATAGCAATAATAATAACAATAATAAGAATAATAACTTGAAATAAATTAAATTATAATAAAAATAATGAAAAAGTACATTAAAGTAAAGAGAAATAAAATTAATTGTAGTAGCATGAATTAAAATTAAATAAAATTACAATTTAATTTATAAAAAAAAAAATAATTATGTAAATTTGTAAATGTATAATAATAATATTAAATTAAAAAATAAATTAATTTAGAGTAAATAAACTAAAAATAATATAATGGAAAAATTAAATATATATTAAATATAAATAATAATAATAAATAATAATAATAATAACTTGAAATAAATTAAATTATAATAAAAATGATGAAAAATAAATTATATTAAAGTAAAATAATATTACTTATCGTATCATGAATTAAAATAAGATAAATGTATAATTTTTATTTATAAATAAAATTAATTATATAAATTTTGAAATGCATAATAATAAAAATATTAAATTAAAAAAATAAATAAAATTAGATTAGACTAGTTAAAATATAACAAAAAAATAATATAAGATAAAAAAATAAAATATATAAAAAAAATGGTAAAGTAAAATAAATAAAATAATTAATAAAACATAATATTACAAAAATAATAAATAAAGTTAAGTAATAATATTAAATTAATATAATAAAATTAAAATAATTTACTCTTGCATTTATCAATAGAAAATAGAAATAAATTATCACCTTTTAGTAAATATTTTTAATTAGAAATAAATAATTTTAATTTCTAAAGTTTATTTAGTAAAATTTATTTGAATTTTATATCATTTATTAAGTTAAAAAATAACTAAAATTTGTTATTATAAAAAATAAAAGTAGACAAAAATACCTTAACTAAAGACAATAAATATTATTATTTTAATTGTAAGTATTTATAAGCTTATAGTTTATTAATGTATTTTAATATAATTCACATTATCTTTAAAATTTTAATTTGATTTGTACATGTGTAACGTGTATATATATTTAACGTTCTTAATTCTAACACACAAGTTGTGTTAGTGGGGTGGTAGCATTGCTTCTTTCCTCTCATGAGGTCTTGGGTTCGATCCCCATTGCCTGTAAAACTTTTTTGGCCAATTTATCGCGATATTTTCAAAATATCGTGATAAATTCAAATTATCACAAATATATATAAAATAATTCGAAGGGTATAACGGGATTTTCAGCAAAAAATTAACACCGTTAACTGTTCAAAATAAAAACGAGGAGTGTGTGCAACAACTACTTAAATACAAGGGGGTGTCATGCATTTTTTAAAACACATGGTAGTAACGTGCCTATTTCGTATAACACAAGGGGGTTTGACGCAATTTGAACATAAGAAATAAATTTATAATGAAACCAATAATTAACTCAACATTATCAATTTATGAACACGAGTAAAGGGAACCTTTCGACAGATCCATCGAGCAGCTCTAAGAAGATTCTCAATGTTGATCCGTGACATTCTAGCATCTTTCAAAATTTCTGGAATTACCTCACAAGCACACATCTGTGTAGAAGATATAAAATAAACAAAGTTAAAAATTAAATCGTCTCACTACAAGAATATAAAATAATGATAAAAAAGTAATATTTACCTAAAGTGATATCAAATATCTATAAATGTTGACTTTCACGTCATACCTACCAGTCGGAGGTCGAAGCCCCAAGTCCATGTAATGGTGTAGACGCTGAAATGCGTATGATCTCCAATAAAATCTCTCAAAGTTTTGGTCTGGCTTTCACCGATGTTCACAACCAGAGTGGCACAATCATCTTAGGGTCTGGTGCTAGGAAAAAAAGTGGACTATCAATATCAACGCACTTTCGGTGCATCATCTAGATGCTCCACAAATTCGCTTGCAGTACAATTAGATCCCTTCCAAGCACACTCTTACTGTTGAAATGTCGGCGGTAAACTTTATCGGCTAGTGGTAGTCCCTCATTCGTAGTCGGAAACACCAAACCTTAACCCTCACGAAAGTCATGTTTTCCAAACTTCGCGGCCACCAATCTGATGCCAAAGCTCCTTCTCGCGGACATTGTTGACGATGACCTCTCTCCCAAAAAGAGCCAAAAGTAGTTTGGCACTGTGATAAGCATGTTCATCAAAGTTTAAGAAGTGGTTGAAGCACGAGCACTCAAACTCATGGAGACGATTGCAAGATCCAAATTGTTCTTTTATATAGCCAATGGATTGAAGCTTGGTATGCCAATTGATTTTACCGCTCCAAGAACAACGGCTGTCTTACCTCCATTTCCAATCATCGCCAAATAGTGGTCAACATAATTAAAATTAATACAAGTACATACTAAATATATAACTTAAAATGACATGTAAAACCTTATTTGTTAACCAAACAAAGTAAACCAAAAAAAAAAATATGGAGTACTAGGAGATGGTGCTTTTGGAGCTGAAATAAAGAGAACAAAAAACTAACCTCGGTTGTAGGAGACGTCATTATGATGGCGGATGAAAAATGGGAGGCGTCGGCAGCAAAAGGGAGCGTCCTACGGTAAAAAGGAACCACCGACAACGGAGAAGCCAACTAGTTTATCAAACTATCATGCATATATCATCATAAATAACTATAATTAATCAACATATTTCAATAGAGATTACAACTTTAAGAACGCACCTGCCGTATATTTGTACCACAACAAGTCCAGTTTCTTAAACTGCCAATCAAACAACTAAAGGGATGGCTATTTAGCTAGTTGTCGAAAGTACTTATCAACATTATTACGGTCCACACATGTTTAATGAATAACTATGATGATGTAGTTCAATGGAATATTTATGAGGTGCTTATCAGTTTATTTAAGAGAACCTCATCTTAACTCAACCAACAACAATGGAAAAGTATGATTCGGACAACAAAAAGAAAACTAAAAAAATAAAAGAGAGTAACAAAACTCAGAGATGTTAACCATTAAATATCAAAAGTTAGCTTAATCAATGCTACTCACAACAGAAGGAAATTGGTTGTGAAAAATTGAGTTGGGAGTAAATTGGTATTTTTACATACTAAAATGGTTAGATTTTATCTTTCAAAAAA